GAGAAACGGACAGTATATGATCAGACGTGGTGCATTATTCTTAATTGTTTTACCTACTCCAATTTTCTCTATGGAATTATCTATCATGTTAATACTAAGGTTTTTAAAATGAATGAAAAGAATATACCAAATTATCCTCTTAATTTAATACAGCTATTCACCTTAGAATAAATACAATATCATCGTGTTAAGCTTAAGGAGGAATATCAGTAATGGTAAAGTATTACCAGACATAAGAAGATTATCTTACCAGATATTAATAAAAGTATTAGTAACAAGAACAGTGAGATAGTTACGATTAAAGTATTTAATAGCCTATTATTCCCAATGAATTAAAAACTTTGTATCATAGTAATAATATCATATTATAAAAAAAATTGAACAGTTGGATAAGTTTACAGACGTAGTTTTGTGACTCTGAGTCCATTATTATTATTAAAAATTTTAGACATGAGTAGTAAATATACATATCTTTATTTCTTATTTTCACCCCTTCTTTTTCTATGGATCTGCATTAAATGTATACTTTTATAATTTATTATATTGTATTGCAGTTATTTAACCCAGACCTGTGTAATTTTGTTTTTTCTACAGAATTTATATAGATGTAAATCTATGTAAATTGTTGTGGTAAATAAGTTCTATCAAAATTCTAATTCTAATTTCAACTCCCATTATTATATATGTTAGTAATTAAAAAGAAGTTTTGAATGTAAAGAATATGTGTATTACTTGATATAAAGTGTTAATTTTATGTATCTTAATTAAAAATATTAAAGCTGCAATGGGAAATGCTAGTTTTACATAAAAATTAGATTAGATTTTGAGAAACCACTCAGATAGTCTCTCTTTAAGCTTTCTCGTTACTATGATCATCGATTACGATTCCAGGAGAAATTAGAAAATGCCCGGATCAGAGGACAATTTCAAGGCTAAGCTCAAGGGACGAAGTGGTTGTAACGAGATCAGATGTGTTACCGTGAATCGGATAGAATCCTCGAGATGAGCTGAAGATTGTGCCTCCAGCCATTTAACGGACACTTTTCGTGGCGTAAATGGCTACCTCGTAGGAGGATAGAACGTCAGAAACTGTGACGCAAGCATCCCCTGTCTTCTCACTTGCTTTACGCTGTCCGGCGAATTAATCGCTGGTGGTAGTCCCTGTGATCCCTTCTTCTCTCCACCGCCTACGCTATTTTTCATTCGACAGCACGCAGCAGAACATTTTTTGCGAGTCGTGACCCCGTCATGTCCTGAAATGAGACTTTAAAGTGTGTTCGCGTGGATGGAACGAGTTTTCAACAGACTGCGGATATAAAGATTTTTGAGAGTTTGGTAAACAGTGTTTGCCTCCAAAGGTGAAATAAGAATATGACTGAAGCATTTTGTAGGTAGACTTTTATGACCGTCGTGGTATGTAGAAATTAGTTTATCATAAATTGGAAACAATTTGCAGTAAATTCTATTTCAATAAATATATTAGCATCAAATTTACGTAAATTTTATATCCTATGAGTTGAATTTCTTAATGAACCAATACATTTATGATATTTTTTATCACTATATTCTTGCATTGTTATATTGATACTAATTTTCTAAGTATATATATCCTGAATAGAATATCCTCAACAAAAGTATAAAGACTGCTACTACACTTTCTACTCTAATTTAATCATTGCGTGTCCTAAAAACGTTTAGCTGAGCAGCAAAGAAGCGCAAAACATTGCTGCGTTTTCTGATGCAGTATTTGGTGCGTCGCAAATTTGCCGTAAGTGCACCTGGCCAGTTTCATATATATCGTTTCTCTTTTTGTATCATACTTCGTTTCCGTGTGAAATAAAACCCGTACTCTTATACTTTCTTCTTTACTGGACTTCTTGTCAAACGTGAGAATTGGATTATGATCAGAATAGAGACGCGAAGGTGTTATTTTTACAACGGTTCAAGCAGAGCTAATCCTCCGTGTTATTTGAATTGATAAATAATTTGTTCCCGTTAATTGCACGCGCTTATTCGACGCGCGGTAATTCGATTGAGATGAAAATTGTTTGTTCACATTGTAATCGCGTCGGATGGCCGTTGTCAACGATCGCGCATAATTAATCTGGTATCGAGTACACGTGCAGCGCGTCGAACACGCCGTTAAACTAATTCTCGATCTGTATTTTAAATAAAACCGTGAACGGGCGAAAGAAATTTATTCACCGCCTCGCGTAATAGCTAAATCGATGATCGATTCGTCGTACGTTCCGTGGCGAACGCAGTTGGTTAATTAAACATCGGCAAGTTTCTAATCCGTGCCCAACAGAATTTCACTTTAACTTCGAGGACAAATGCTCGAGTAATTTAATAACTATTACGACTTTTTACTTGGCCAATCGAAATTTTAACAACCTCCTACAATTCTGTGATAATCTTCTTAAAAAGTGAATTATCAAACTGTTTTTCTTTTTCCTTTGAACAACTATGTGCCGTATTCTTGCGCAAAACTGGTCTCGCGATTTCCCGATTATACAACCCCAAGGAAACTTCCTACTTTCGGCGCACGTAATAACGAAATACACGCGATTTTTCCATCGATCGTTACAAAGGGAAAACTTATGAAAACGTAGACAGTTAATAAACTGTGGTAAATTATAAGAAAGAAGGAGTCTGACATTTGATGGTCGGTCGTGGGCGATGAAAAGTTGCGGGTTTCATTCCAGAAAAAGCATGAGACAAAAAATGTAAACATGATGTTATATATCTTCGGCCATTTGTTAATTAATTTTTTAAGTAAATATTATATATTATACGTTGGAGGTTTTTTAATAATACAATCACATTAGACGTGATCAAGCTACAGATATTTTAACAGGCATGAGAGGAAAAGAAGCCTCATACGCAATTATTTAATTATAAAATTATAAAATAATTATTATACTTTATATATTATAAAATAATTAATTACTATTATTTTGTCATTAAACCATCGCTTGGAGGACGAATACAGTAGAGAATGAAGACAAATTTTACGCAAGAGTGTTTCGTAGATGAAATTTGTAGATCCTCGATCCCAGTTTCCAGCCGAGCGAGGATCTTGTGCAACGTTATCGATGGAGAAAGGAGGAAACCGATGGAGGGATCCATCGATCCCGATCGATCGACTGATCCGATCGCGAATCAACGCCGTCGGTTCCGACGGGGTAAACGCGGTTCCTAATCGCTGTGAAATTGTCATATCATTCGCGAACGGACGAGAAATCGGCTGATATAATTACCTGGACTAGCCGGGATCGCGCTCAGTCTTTGTCCTGTTCCCTGTGAGTCATGCGAGCCCCGAGATCATCGGCAGCTGGCCTGCTGCTACTTTTATTTTCCTTGGTTTGTCATTTTTACGTGTAAACTCCTTTTCTGGCTTCTTACGTAGCCGAATGTCTTGTGATTAAAAGGGGTGATGAAGGTGTAGTGTAAATTGAAACATTTCAATGTTTCTATCATTAGTGTGTTCAAATGATTTCTGAAGTTTTGTGCTTGTGCGTGATTTTTACAATTCACCCCAATTATGAGAATTAATTTGAATCAAATCCTATTTATTCCTAAGTATAAGTTAAAGTATAGATCCTTTATTATTATATTGAATTATATTACGGACACTGTGAAAACTATTATTTTATAATAACAAAAACTTGTGCAGAAAGAGCCATTACTATACTTCAACCGTGACTGACAGTAATTGATTTCCTGGTTGCAAATCTCGGTTTCTTTTTTTTTTTTACAGGGAACAAGAACGAACGCGAGGGACACCAGGCCGAGAGGAGCAACGGCTTTTGATCTGAGAGGCGCTAAGTTATTGAACAATCATAATCCTAGCAAAATTAATAATGAGATTCTATCACTTGCGGGGAGCGAATATATTGCAACGAATAATAACAATTCTGCGAGGATCCTGGATCAACAAGTTGGACAGTCGATGGCAGTGCTGTTAAATTCTGGTGATATTAAAGATTTAGAGGACTTGGAACACGCTTTGTCTATTGTCGAATACGAGCCGCAGAAGATTAACAAGAAAGAAAAAAGGAAAATCTCGGATGGTCTTGATAATGCTTCTGGTAAATTAAAGTGATGTCATCAGTGGTTAATTTTCGTGCAAAATTGAAAATGTGAATTTCTCATTTCATGTTTTAAAAGTATTACTATACATTTTATCTTTAATTTGTATATCCTTGAGTGTTTTTTATAATTTCTATAAATACACTTTTTCCGTAAATATTAATTATCCGACATATACAGTGATGCCCTACGAATATTTATGATTTATATTGTCTTTTATTTTTTAAAAATAGGACTTGTATTTTTCAGATATCGTAACATTTAGTAAGGAGGACGTGGCTCCAATAGCTGTCAACGTTCATAATAAGCCGAAGGAAACAGTGGCAACAACGCAACATTACCCAAGACCCATTCAAGACAACTCGAAATCACTCAGGAACCCACTCGCAGTCAATACCATCAAACCAAGACCTTCCATTACCCACCCATCACAGGATTCACATGTCACCCCCTCAATTAAACGCGAGAACGTACCAACAAGAATTTCCCTGTCACATAAACCGTACTCTTCTCTACCCACTGGATCGAGAAGACAGAAATCTGATACAGTTGTAACTACTTCTGCACCATTCAGCGATGCTACTTATTCTACTGTAGCGAGTAAAAGAAAAAGAAATCGTAACCGAGTGACGCACAAGCGCACGAATAGGCAGGAGCCGTCTGACTTGGCAGGAAGCGAAAATTACCCTCTCGAGCTTTTAGAACCGATAAACAGTGAAAATAAAAACAAAACGAGAGGCACGTTGATTAAGTACAACGCAGCACCCAGGCCATTTTCAAAAAGGAATCCAGAACACATTGAAATACCAAAGGTACTTTCCAAACCGAAACAGGAAGACAGTTTGAAAAAATCTGATGAAGAAACAATTGCACCAAATAGTGAATTTGAAAATAAAAACCCTCCATCAATGGCGAATTACAGTGAAGATTTGAATGACTATTTAAAGATTTCTCCAGTCAGGACACCTGTGGTCAGAAAACTGCACGATAGGAAGCAAATTGAGCAGAGAAAGGATGATCCTGAAATAAAGGATGATACATTATATGATAATAAAAAGGAGTCAAAGAGAGTGAAGAGTGAGAGCTCGGAGGAGAATGATTCCCCTGTAGACGAACACTCGAATATCAAGTCAGTAACTGAGAATAATAGATACACTAGCCAGTCAGAGCCAGGTTCATCAAGAATTCCAGCGAATTTGGATGTAACCATTCCAGTGACTGATACTGAAAGTCCAGCGATGTCCACCGTGACAGACCACACGCCTTTTCATTTTGATCTATCTAATTACGTATACTATCCATCATGGTTGTCTACTTCCGCGCCTGTAAAACGTACTGAGGCTAGTACCATAGATCCCTGGTTTAAAAAGTCGAGGTTCAGTCGTCGGAACAACAGGTACGGAGATAATAGTAGAGAGAATGTCGACGGTGTGGCGGAAGCCACGAATGTGGAGAATGAAGAGTCGCACGAAACACCTGACGAGAGTCATGGGGCCGAGGAACAGGAACATCAGAGTGACGAGTATGTTCAGGACGATCAACACGTGACAGAGGGTAGGAAGGGTTATTTAAATAGTAATAAGCATAATCAGGATGATAAGAAGGTGCATGACTCTTCGAGCGAGGGTTCGCACGATAATGAGAGTCAGCAGACTGCAGTGAGTGGCGACGCGAAAGGGAAGGGTGGCCCGGTGAAATTTGAGGAGGGTGGCAGCTCGGAACGGAAGGAAGAACATCGCGAGACTGACGGTGAGAAAGGGGAGAAGGTAAATTGTTAACAATTGCAGGATAACGATTATGTTAGGCCAGTGCAGGAGTTCGTGCCCGATAACAAAATGTAAATGATAAGGTGAATGTAATTATATTTTATTCCAAACTAAGCAAGAACTTTTGCATTGACCCAATATTTACAGCAATACGAAAATCAACTGTTTGCCAAGAGCAAGATAGAAATAATGAAAATTGGAGAAAGTTGTTTTGGCTGTTTGCTGTAACACAGAAGATTAGAGTCCCTCTCGCGTGTATTTCTGTTTTCTATAGGGGTACAAAAGCTGGCACGAGCACGAGAAAGCCAATAAGGGACACCACGACAAAGAGCGTCACAGCAATTATTTCGACGAGGAGGACGGGAAAAAGAAGGAGGAGGAAGAAGAGGGTGGATACCACGAGGAGTATGAAAAGGGCGAGAAGGGCGGGAAAGAGAGCGAGTTCGATGAGAAGGGCAAGCATCAGAAGGGCTACAGCACCAAGGGGGAGCACTCTGTGCACAAAAAGGTTTCATTACGTCCCAATGTAACCGAAACAATCTAATATTTTGCCACGACGGAATTAATTTTTTTTTTACGATTTCAGGACGAGTTCGAAAAACGGACAGAGTTTTTCGACGAGTTCCACGAGGACGGGGAAACGGAGAACGACGGCGAATCCCATCACGAGCACAAATCATCCAAAGGCGGTCATCATAAAATGGGTCATCATAAAGAAGGCGAGGACGAAGGGAAGTATGGCAAAGAACAGAAACACGCAAAGGGTGGTCATCACCACGAGGACAAAGGTCACGATGTTAAGGAAGGCCAGGAGGACCATCACGAACACAAACATATGTATGGAAAGAAGCATGACCAGCGGCATGGGAAAAAATGGGGTTACAAAGAGGGTGATCATGGTAATGCTGGTAAAAAGGAGTGAACATTAAAAATCCTGTCAGTTATATGTATAGTTTGTTATAATTAGTAATTACGAACATTATCATAATTGACTGACAATAAATACTCCTAATCGACCATTCATAATTAGACTGCGGATTTATATGCAAAATGAAAGATTCAATGGAATCAGTTTAAAAAATACATTCTAAATAGACATTAGTTTTACCATGTATCATTTTTTCTTAACGTGGCAAATATTCTCTATACTCACTGCCGATACAGTTTTTCAATGAACGCATAAAATCCGCAGTCTATTAATTACTAATTACGGGCAGAGAAACATCCTACTAGAAAGCCTTATTCTTTTGTAAATACCAGCAACTTTAGTTTTACGTTCGTTCTGTACTTTTCATGTTTACAAGGGTGTTGTATTTGTTAAGAAATAAACTGTTCGACCAGCGACATACTTTTTTACAGAAATAGCCCGGGGGTTCAATTTTGTTCACTTAGGCGGCCGTGAAATTTATTTGTCCGAGCCAGTTCCGACTACTTCACCTGTCCCAGCCATTTTCTCTATGAGAAGAAACGCTGGTCGTCTGTAAAAAATGAGCACCTGCGTGAAACTACGTGCTAGAACAAGAAGGAAAAGGAAGCTTGTGGATGACTGTACCGTTTCTTGAAATTGCTTGGGAAGGACAGTTCCTGAGAAGGACAGCACGACGTATTTACGTTTTACCAGGTGTCCTTGACCATCTAGAAATGCCATAAATGCACATTTCAGGGGTAACTAAAAGGTTTCCCGTGGGAATGAAGGAAATCGAATTTTCTAAATGGAATTAGTCGGTTGATATGATCTCCGTTTCTGTTTTGAAAACTTTCTTTCCCAGATTTTGTATCAGGCCCCTTAAATGTTTATATAGAATGTCCTACGAAGTACTGGATAGTCCTTTATTTCTTGCGCGATTAAGGGTGTCATATTTTTTTATGGAAATGAATTCTCTTTTATAGTATTATTTAATGAGATACAATGGTCAAGTTTTTTTTTTAACTTAGGACTGTGTATTTCTCTTGCATCATAAGATAGAACTTATGTAGCCATCATGTGCCAAATTGATTTTAATTAGGTTTTGAAATATTAACTCAAAGTTCATTAATCCATTGTATTGTTCTTGCATTATTAGATAAAACTCTTTGGGACAAGTTCATTTACCCTTTATGTATAAAATTGATTTAAATTAGGTTTTGAGACATTTAACTCTGAAATTTACTAACTTTTACGGAATGGGTGTAGGAAACATAGAAGGGCTGATTGGTAAGTTTCTAGGAAAGGCATAGTGAGGTCGTAAAATTGACCCATCGTAAAGTTCGTCATAAAAATTAGTAACCGATACCTGTTGCGGTCACCCGCTGAGGGTCGCTTCTATCAGATATGAAAGTACCTCTTATTGAAGGGGAGGAAAATTATTTTTGGAATTCTCGGCTGCGAGAACCTGGAGGTTTCCGTCAGTCGGGAAAAAAGCCAATAGGATTTTCAGAAATTTTTCTAGCTACAATCGGCCAATGCTGAATTTAAAGCTTTTCTAATGCTTCAATACTGTGCATTCAAATGTACAATTTAATAAGAATCTTATGTTTATACAATTCCCAATAAATATGAACAGTGCAAATATGAATTAAAAAATTAAAAGATGAACAGTATAAGCATAAGTTATAACAAAACTGAAGAAATATTGGAACAATGGCAAGGTCGTATTGCTTGTACGATCCATCATTTTATAAGCTCTCAGGTGTATCAATTGAGAAGTCCATGGAAAGGTCCAGCCTTCGTCAACTTCATTTTTCATATATGTATTTTGTATGTTAAATAGATCTCTTTGAAAGAAAATACTCATCACTATCCTTTCTTTATGCAAAATAAACTACGTAGAGTATCAGTTTAAAAACTGAATTTTAAATAGAAATTTCCTGCATCTTTTAAACATTGCAATATGCAGTTTGTGTTTGCTATTCTGAATATCTACATGCATTACATGCAATGTTTACATTTTCTGTGAATTCAATCTCGTCATAAATGCATAAAATCCAGTCGCATCTAAACAGTTCCACTCGTTTTTAAATTTCCTACATTCGCCATTCTATTTTTCACCAGCCACGCCTTAGTTATCGGTCCTCCTGATTATTAATCGCGATGATCGCGCGAACAATTCCAGCTGCTGGCACCGCTGCGTTCGACAGGTGATTTACAATCGGCCCGTCTAATCAGCTCCTTGCTTGAATAAGATAAAAGGTGTTCAGGTGTGGTTCACGACAACGGGTCGTTAACGGGTATCGTTGCTCATTAGTCCGTTTTCGCGGGACACGTTCTGCGTTGAGCCTCGTGTGAAACGGCACCGGGTCCATCACGTATCGACGCGTGATTACGCCCACACAATAAAAGGGATAACCAGTTATCGGCCAATCTCTTTCATAGAGCTTCGCTCTCAGATAACTTGGGTCTACGAATTTCCGTCAAATTCCGAAAACTAATAAGCCTCGTTCTTGGAATTTGTTTTAATTCAGGTTTTGTCATAAACTAATTAGTAATTGAGTTTGACATTGATAAAGCACGATGAAATATCTTTTATTCGTAATTACGTTATTTAATTATTCATACATAATAATTCATACAGGCTAATTTATAATTAAATTATAATGAAAAGAAAGATGAATCGATAAATGATATAAATTTCCGTTGTTCCTCTTATCTCGACGTTATCAATGGTATTTCTGTCACGGTTTTGATGTTTAACCTGTTGACGTGCGCGACGCCCTCGAAAGTGAAAATTCGTGTCCACTGAATGTTTGCCGAATTGGGGGCGATAATGTTCATAGACATTTATTTGACTAGGTTATCGTTAATAGTGACAAAATTATAACAACCGGGATGGAAATAGCCATCGTTTCTCTATCATTTTTATTGTACTGTCACCAAGATTAAAATTTACGTGTGACGTTAAGATAGGGAGATATCAAACGCAGGGGAACAATTAAGGGAGGATCGTCGCGAGAAGTTCCTTCCTAACAAGACAAGTATTTCATCTCGAACATTTCAGAATTTATTTTCCACCGAATACGATCTCCGATTGTCATTTAAAAGTCACGCCGCTTTCAAACAATTCATATGAAATGCGAGAGGCTTTATACACTTTGACAATCATGTTGTCGCGTGGAATAAACTAATTTCTTGAAGTCCAGCGATTAATCGAATAAATCGAGCGCCGGGTGGGGAATCGAATGGGAGCGACCGGGGACTGTTTATTTTTCATCGAATTCTCGGTCACGCATGCCGACGGAACTCGATTAAACTGCGGCCGCGCGATGTCTCGATCAACGTCAGACGAATTTCATAGGACAAATTAAACGCCGGCTGTCGACGCTATAATGTACTGCGCGTATATCGTCCGGCAATGTACAATTACGTCGCAAAGGATTCCGCTGCCGTCGATGTTGATTAACGTTTTAACGCCGGCACGTAATGAATGCTTGATCGATTATAATAATTACCGTCTACGTAACGCAAAAAGTGACGTAGGACAAGAGTTAATCGCGTTAATTTCGGACATCATCACGGACAATGTATGCAGAACCCATTGCTGATTATAAACTCGAAATCGAAATGAATTGACGAGAACTCCATAAATGAATCATAAATACACATTTAAGTGTCTCGCGTCAGACACTTCGAATTTATAGTTTATACGGAGGATATAAAATTGGAAGCAGATTTACTTCACAAACTGTGGGTAAATAAGTTCGCGTATTATAATTTATAGAACTAACGCAGACGCGAAGTTCCGAAGGCGATCCGCGTTTCGCAAACAGAAAGCGACTGATATCAGCTTTGAATGGTAAACGGAAAACTGTAATGGTTGCGCGTCTCATGCATGAAAATTTCGTTCTTGCATTCTACATTAATGCGAGAAGTCACGGGGAACTCTTTCTATGACCTTTAGACGAGCTGAGGAATGTCACTGTTTGCATTTTACTTTTCCAACTTTCGCAATCGGTGTTTAAGGTTGCTCTCGTTTGCATTTTGCAAATAAGTGATAAATTCGCTTGAAAAATTTGAACAAAACTGACAAGCTCGTTTTGGAATTGTATAAAAATTATTTGTTATCGAGGAACTGAGTTATCCAAGTGACCTGTTTTAAATGTCTCATCCTGTATTTCATCAATAATAGCAACTATTTAGTAGATCATAAAATAAATGTATATGTACAATTTCATGCAAAAGCTCTGAAACAGTTGAAAATGAAATAACAGATTCTCAGAACACAATGTGAAACTGACAAGCAAATAGTTAAATTACTTTAACAATTACCTTATTTTATCCTAATTAAAATGTACCCTTTAACGCGAATAGTTGTAAAATCAGGAATACATTATACTTACATATAACTTTTTGCTGAGATTATATAGAATAAAAGAACAAACTTAAATAACAAAAAGAGTATTTGCTTTATGATTTGCAGGTTTGTAGCTTGAGGGAAGTTAGTATCGTCAATTAGAATCGAGATTCAGAAGAGATTACGAAGATTAAGACGGCTTAAGAAGTGAAAATAAGACTGCCAACGATTAAGTCTGCATTTCATGATGGAGCATCGTTTATCCATTTTATTCAAGTTTTAATAAAATATAATCCAATAAATATATTTCGTTTTAAACGACGATAATCGATACTACTTTTAAATGGAAATGAATTCTGCTTCATTCTCTGTACACGCGAGCTACCGTGCCTCGGGTATTCCATTCCAAGTGTGTAGAATACTATTTCAAAGTTTAATCGCTCACATTGAACGGAACGTTCTGTCCTGTTCATTCCTCTTAAGGCAACTCCAATACCGTTCAAAGTTACGCCTAACTTTCGCACTACTCCACTCTGCACCGGTAAAACAAACAGAATTTTCAAACCTGGCAATCGACATTTAAAAACAATTGGAAAGTTAAGAGTTTCTCTTATGCAATACATATTAATATCAATATATATTAATAGAAAAGTAACTGCTTTCCAAATCTTTCTTTTCTAATTACTGTTCTCTACGTTTTATGAATACCTCCTCCTATACAGTCTTTTTTTACACGATATTAATGTTACGATTTATTCACGATTATTATTACGATAATAACAATCATGAAGATATTTTAGTCTCTGTAAGTTTCATTGAAGAAGCATTACGCTTGTCAGGTAAACTGGAACATCATTTGATTGGAAACGACTTCGACTATTGAACGAGCTAGTTTCCAAATGGATTTGGGAAGTTGTATGGTTCGTTATAAGGAATTATTCAAAACGACAAGTACAACAGGAATTGTTACGATTGATACGAAGCACAAGAGATACTTCGAACGATTTTTTTCCAAGAAAACTAGTTTCTCATAATTGTATAAGGTAACAAGGTGACGATGAATAACGTTGATAAAAATGTCGATTGTTAACAAGATATCGTTCCCTTTTAGTTCATTTTGCCCTGGTTCGTTAATTTATCTTTTTCTCTTACTTCACTGTATTTATTTTAATTATTACGTTTTTTAAATAAGAATGTATACCATTATGCACTGCAGTAATTAAATAAAATACTTTAATGAACGCATTTCTATGTTTTAAATTGCTTTTTTTTTTTGTAGTTTGCGTCCTTTAAAACGAGTCATATATTTCTGCTAATTGCGTGACTCTTTTTACACGATTTTCTTTTACTCGGTACACTTTCACCGTGTAAAAAGAGGGTCTGGTGTATTAAGTAAATTACGCTTTTCCGCACTATTTAGTCGCTCAGCTTATTAACAATCATTTAGCTACCTCAGAACTCGGACACTTAATTAATTCTACGCTAGAAAACTTCAAAGTTTGATCGTAGAACGAATTGCGGAATCTGTGGAGCGGAGATCTGCGAACAGATAATCAAAGTTCGCTTCGAAAACGGCGGTCGGAGTTTAAATACGCGCGAGACCCGACCGGAATGTTTGCGTATCGCCGGATGCTCGGGGCACGTGTGCCACAGGGATTTCTCAGCTAGTAAAACAGGGTAAAACTCGTAAATGCCGAACAACAGACTACCCTTTACGTGCATCGCCATTTACATTCACCTGGCTACCGGAAACGCTAACACGTGGACGCCTAATACACCTAATACTTGATTCTTTCTCGAAGTTCGATTTAGAATTCGATCACTTTTATTCATAACGTCCCGGCTTCGTTCGCAATACTTTTGAAACACACGGTATGAACACTTTATTTCAAGTAATACATATTGTTCATATTGAAAACTTTTATTTCAAAAGTCTTGAAATAAATGGAACTAAATAAAGAATACAACCAGTAATTGTACATGTTTTCGGAAATACAAATTTTCCGGGTATTCTATTCGAAAATGAACCATTCTCTTAATGTGATTGTAGTAATACTAGTAATTCTATTAATCAAGATTGTACTAACTTGATTATGGAATTTTGTATTACACATTTTTTTACATTTCTATTAGTATGTTTTTAGCATTTTGTATTACACATATGTTTCTTAGCTATGAAAACTAAAATTCAATTTCTATATCTTAAATTCTGTTTCTAGAAGCCTGACAAACAATTTAATTTTTTCCTTTATTTGTCTTAAGGAACATGAAACATCGATTGGGCTCTTACCTACAAATATTACTTAAAAAATAACTTCCTGATTCATTGACTCGTTCATTGCCATTCGTCTTTAAATATCTGGTACAGTAACTTTTATAAGCAACAATCAAATCGTATTTTTATAATAAGGGGATTCGTAAAGTTTCACCCCCTTAAGGATGGAATTCTGGTAAGTCGAGAAATTGCGTTTTAGACATTTGTATGAGAAACATTCATAAGCAAAAACCAAGTCGATATCTCATATTGTATGAACGAAAGAAAGGTATTCGTAAAAATACGTTTTACCACCTTAAGGGTAGAATTTCGAAAAATCCAGAAATCGCTTTATAGCATTTTCATAAGGTCACATTTTTACACCAAAACCAGCTTGACATGTCAGCAGTAAACTGCGGATTTTCATGCAAAAGCATATTCTTTGAAACATATTTTAAGGGATGTTTTATTATTATAAGATAATAGAGATGAGAAGATTTCTTATTTTTCTACTTTTACAATGTGAGATTTACATTAATGTATTTTGTTATTTTTATTTTATACTATGATTTATTATTTTTGAGATTATACGTAACAAGTGCATTTCCTTACATTCAAATTTTCTGTAATTGCATAAAAATTCGCAATCTACGAAGTTAAAAAGTTTTTGAAACAGAAATAAAACATTTCACCTTCAAAGGTAAAATTTCAAAAAATCTAGAAATTGGGTTCTTTGTAATTTTCTACAAAAACACATTTTACCCTGTTTCACCAACTTATGGTTGAAATTTCGAAGAATCTTTATTTATTCAGTACGTAAAGGATAACACGAATGACAAGACAATAAGACTATTCTTAGTTTTGTTTAATAATCCCACGCCAATTATTTATTCATTTCGTATCTGATTCTCAACTTATTTCGTTCTATAATTAAATTTTTCCACATTTTGGTCATAATAGTTCGCGATTGGGTTTCAGTGTTTGTAGAGAAGAACGGAGCAAAATAAAGTACTGCGTATAAATCAGACGAACGAAGAGAAACCCAATCGTACCTACCTACCACAAACAGCGAATTGAGAAAGCGTAAAAACAACTGGGAGAACGCAACTCGACCGGCGATGCCGTTCGCGAACGATCAAGGAGGAGGGTTCGATCAAAAAATGAAACCCGATCGAAGAGCAATCGGGGGTGAACTCAATTTCGCGTGCCGGCGGACATCGCGTACCTCCGTTGCATACGCACGAGAAATATCGAAGGGTAGTAAAAAAAAGTATGCTGCGTATGGGGCTGGAATATCATTACGCGATGATCGCAAACGCTCGCGGATACGGTTCAAGGATTTGCAAAAATTCCATCACCGTTTGTATTTTCACTGGTGATAGCCGTGCCGCATACTCTACCTATCGTTGTTGTTTCGTTGTCCTATATACATATTTTCGCGCGATATACGCAAAGGCTTACGCTGCTCTTTCGATATTATAAAAATGGCTACACAGATTCTCAGTTACCTGCGAAGGAATATTCGCGACACGTGTAAATGGTATGAGGGAACGTGTGCGGATAGTTATGAAAAGGTATGGTAAGAATAGGAACTGGTTTGAGAAAATGTAGGATTACTATAATAAAATAAAAATAATTGTTGCTTAGATATTTCGTATACTTGAAGAACTACATACAATTTGTATTTAATAATTTCTTAGTTCCAAACACTATTTTCCAAAAATTTCTATAATAATTCAAATTTCGCCGATTTCCTGATCGCCCATGTATAACGTCTATCATTTATCGTACATGCTAATCTAATCTCTATCGATTTTTTTATAAATGTAGCACTGATTACGACTACATTAGTGTATTAAAGAAGACGGAAGTCAAACATCAATACGAAGTGATCGAGGAACATCCGGTTAATTATTTTTTAATAGAAACGTTTTTTAATACAACATAAAATCCAATAAATGATTCTCGTCGAATCATCATGACTTTTTTTGTTAATAATCTCGAGGGAGGCACGAATGGATTTGAATAACGATTTCTGTTCTCAGGCATTCGGAGTTGCATGAAAAAAAGAATGATCCCGTGGGATGATGAAGCTATTTTCACAGTTCGTTTCCAGCGGTGGTAAATTTGTTGAGCGTCTATCATGGAAATGCAATTTGAACGTTTCTTCCAATTTTTTCTGTAAAACAGTTAGTTTTTGTTGATATCAATTCTTCGGAAAAACTGCCCTATGTAATTTAAGTAAATCGTGTTATAATAAAAGAATGTCAGTTCGATCTTAAACAAAGTGCAATACAAAAATTATAAATAATTAGCTTTCTTAAATTGGAGACGTATCCCTTAAAGCTGAAGGTACCTTAAGTTAAGGGATTGAGTCGGCGGACCTGTTGCCTATGCGAGGGACCAGAAAATAGGGAAATATTCGTTGCAAAACGGGTCATATACGTGGGTGTCCTTACGAGATGGCGAAGAAAGGTGATGAAGAACAATTACTGAATAATATACCCACGTATCCAATAAATACAAACATGATACGCTCAAGAAGTATAACTGCACCGATAAATTCTAATTAGATGCACATCTGTCGTTCACTATCGAAGATACTATAACAATTTCAATGACAAAGCACAGAATTCACAATAAGGTAAACGTCCCAATTTCTGTTCACAAATCACACTCACTGTCGTATTTTTCTACAATTTTATACGTTGTCTTAAAACTGTAGAAAAATCATTTCTATATTTTGTATCGTCTTACAATTATAGAAAAATGATTTTCATATTTTCTATAATTTTATATGTTGTTTTAATATCACAGAAAAATAAGACAGCAAATGGCAATTGTCACGTGAATAGAAATTAGGGCATTTAGTTTACATTTATAAATAGGGCACAGTAATAATTTACAGAGTTCATATGTTAATAAACACGCATACATTTATATTAATGATACAAATAATGAATGTTTATCCCTTAACCACACTTGCAGACACTTCCACTATCTTAAATACAATAGAAATTACATGAGAATTGAAGTATGAGAATTGAAGTATATGAAGAAGAGAAATGGAAGTATCCACGCACTTTGGCAACTGGAGAGTCGAGTGTGGGAATCGCGCGTATGCGCACGATGCGCAAAGAAAGAGAAACGTACCCCTGCCGGTAGCACCCTTCGCGGGGCGCGAAAGCGAGAAGGAGCGAGATAGCGGAGACGAGGGGGTGTCGACACGCGCGGCCCACGGCAGACGGGCGGCTTACACGCCGTATAAAGGGTGGCGTCGCGATGCCCCGATCGCCATATCTCGCGTAGACAGCAAACCCGCGACGCCCCTCGAGTCTGAGAAAATCTTGTGACTATATCAGTGACAGCCACGTGAAACGCAAACGGTACGGTTACCCAACGTCTCCGGAGACAGCTAACCCTCGTCCCGTCTTCGATACTTCAGCAACAGGTGAGCCGAAATTTGGTACGTGCCTTTCTATTCCTATCGTGTTGCAATCTCTTGCCGAAAAGAACGAATCGAATATGACAAGAAGATATTAGCTATTTAAATATCGTGGTTTATAATATTTCAATTATTGTATCTATAAGTTTGGTATCTAAGAACAGTGACACAGAGTGAATATTTAAATAAATTGTGATAGTGTTGATCGATGTGAAGAATAAGGGTAGAAATTTAGGTAGAAATTTTAATGAGAGAAAATTATAGAATGTAAAGAACAATGAACAAGCACAAAATAAAATGTTATAGAAATTGTATTTTATTCAAAAGAGAGATGAATGTTTCCTCTGCTGTCATTTTTGTTGAAAATTCTATAGTAAGTTGATTTAATAACTTCATACTGTTCCATACAATTAGGATCCGCGGTGAGATAAATCGGACGCGAAGGTATAAAAGAATACAAATACGCGATGTTTCAAACCTCTGAAATATTGCATCTCACGCGATGTTCTTACAACTTTTTGACAGACGCCTTTCAATTTAGTTGACGCACAACGGGTCACGTCAGCGAGCGTCATTTCCTTTTTAAACATTTAGTGCGACATGACAGCTTCTATCGTTTTCATCACGCATGAGATCAAAATTAAAAATACATCGTTAGAGATTAATCACTGAAATCATTAATGTTTCTGTTTGTAATACGAAATGATTAAAGAACTTTTATTATTATGATTATATATTGAAAATCTGTTCAATGTGCTGTATGTGTATTTGAACGTCGTACTTAAAATTCAGTTACCTCGTCTCAAGCAACAGGTGACCGTTTTCCGGGATTCATGAATAAAAAAAATCGTCCCTTCTTCCTCCCGCCATCCGATAATTAGCGTTTATATCGTACTTCGACGAAAATTAATTTCGCGTCGCGAAATATGTTTCACATAAATTCCGCATTAACAGCTGTCCCATGTATTAAAAGCCCTCACGTTTTTGCATTACTGTTCCCTCTCATTTTAAATAACGCGTCAGGCAAATATGATTTATACAAATGGCGCATAAATTGTGACGCATTGTTTGATCGATCTATGCGTTAAAACTCGTGACACTTTTATTGAGTCACCGTTTGTCATGTGAAGGAAAAGTTGTCCGTAGATGGAAGATGAAGCGACGAGAGATACACGAAGACGTATTTACAGGTGAAGTTGAGAGAAACGGGAAAAATGTGTGCAGAATAAAGAACAGTGCTCAGCGTCCAAGTGTTACAAAGTGCGACAAGAACTTTGAAGGAACTGTTCTAAGCAAAAAAGGTTTAACACCTGTGATGTATCACGTGTGACGAGGGCGAACGGCGTCAAAGACAAATCGTCGTCCCTTGGAAACGAGAGAGCTGGTGCTGCATCAGTTCGCAAATATTTGTTATTAAAAAAATAGTATGTTACTCGAAATATTAATTAAAAAAGTCCATTTGTTATCTGTCGCGAATATTGTTTGGTTAGCGGACGCCCAGAGGCGTCGCAAACATTTTTGAGCCGTGAATAAAACTGCAACGAGGGCATTTGTGGGGAAAACATTGTTCACCAAACTGAATCCTGAAGCGTACAGCTATTCTGATAATTATTGCCTCGGTAATTCCAAGAACCGTCGGCGAAAAGTTTATTAATTTAATTTTCCAATGCACGAAGCGTTAAAATAAACGAAGTGAATTAATGAAATTTGTTGGAAATTTAAATACCAACGGAATCAGTAATATTAATCTCAAACAAATTGAATGGGAAGACAGTAAGTAAAACTGGGAGACAAAAAGCCAATTTATTAATGGTATAAGAAATGACATTCATAAAGGAGTTATAGTGAACTGAAATGAGTTTCTAGAATTCTTCTATGAAGCACTTGAAAATTTCATGATAATTCAACAGTTTTTTCATTTCAATCTCACCGTTCCTATAATACATTAAAAATGATTAAGTTACCGCAGTGCAATCTTTTTTATTAACTCGACATATTGGGGAATCTCGTCGTACTGAGGAATTACTAAATGAAGAAGTGGCTTCGTTGAAATCAAAGTGGAAGTCGCCCGGATATTTACAAGCTGCTGACAAGTTTCCCCTTTTTAATTGCTTAAGAGCTAGTAAATCGATTAAGAGCTGTCTACTCTGTTATCTCATTTGAATGAAAACTATTTCACTGTCTTGACAATGTCTTTAGCATTATTAACATAGGGCGGAAAATGACGTCAAGTAATAATACAAATTTCTCATTAAGAAATTGAACCCAAGAATTTAACACGTTTACGTCACGATTCGCTTCAAAGAATAAAATGATAATTTGTCAATCAGCAAAGAATTCTGATTCTTAAAAGAAATTTGAGTGAAATTACACTCGCTTCGGGCTTGGCGAAAGCAGAAGTTCACGGGTCCGTTAAAAATCGATTGAACCTTTCGAGTGACATTTTTTAATTAGCCCGATAAGACGGGAGTTGACGAGAGTTCTGGGCAATATCTCCGCGCTTTTATTCAAGAGCAACGCGCGCGTGGAACTTTCGTTCTGATCGAAGTTGTCCGTCAAAGAAGATGAAGTCGTCGCTTCTTTCCACGAGGCTTCGCCGTCGATCGACGAATAATCGAGAACTCGAGTCGAGCGTGAAACTTCCTCGTTTTCCTTTGTCAAGATACGGCGAGAATATTGGTTGAAACTTTGCTGACACGTGATGGGCAGGCAGAAGAAAAGCCATGAAATGAATTAGAATATCTTACTGAATACTTGCATAATTATTGCACAATCAATTTACACTAATTAACTTTAAATTTACATTAACAGATGATTTATGATGAATAAAAAACTATTCAAGATTTTAGCATTGAAAAGTTGAGAATAAAAGACGAAGTTAAACGTTTGGTTGTTTTTATAATTTGTTTTTGAGCTTGAGACATCCAGAGACATTTTCCGCTTGGACAGACCGGAGGATGGAAAAAACGAGAGAAAACAGAGGGGGTGGCTGAGGCCGGGTTATTAGAACGGCGTTATTAGCAGACCTTTTTCAAGCTTATAGCGCAGCTATTGCTTATTTCGCGCGTACAAAAGCCGAAAGTGGGCTAATCGTCCCGGCGTACCAATAAACCGTGCCATTATACCCCGCGGCCTTTGCGAATCGTTTGACAAGAATCCTCTTACATAACCACTTGTTTTAGCAAGGAATAAATTCGTAACGTTTGGATTTCGTTTCGAGCCATACGACTGAACTTATGTGTTTTTTTTTAAATACTTTCGTTACGTTGACTTGGCACTAGATGCTGAGACTTGCACGTTAAAAATAAGCTATTTTCGATTGATACCATTTTGGTCTATCGTGTAATCCTTCAACCGTGAAATTTGTTGTTCCTACGTGGAACGCCGCCGGTTTTATGAATCCTAACCGTCTTTTCACTACGGTTTAACGATGTGCTTCACGTAACGTGTACGCTAAATTTATTATCAGTACTTTGAACGTAACTTGAACGACTTTTAGCTGTTGCTCCCCTTCCTTTATCATACTTAAACGTAAATAGGATTTTCATTTTGCACCCTCCACTTAACACATTTATATGTAGATGAGGGTTAATACCATATGAATTAGTCAGTGAAAAAAATATGAAGTGTGAATGACTGCAGCTGTAATCTTCACTCCTCGAAGATTGTCCTAATTTGTTAAACATATTTAGTCACGCCCAAAATTGGCGCAGCGGAGTGTCGGAACTGGGGTGGACACGTCGGTCAAGCTAGATTTAATTTCATGCCCGGGGGTGTGTTTTCCCTCTCTCGGAGGTGGGAATATCTGGGAAGTGACGTTAACCTCGTTCCCGGTACACGTACATACGTATCTGTTCGCAAGTTCGTTGAGTAGATCAATGATAGCCGTGATAATGGCTCGCCCGAATCTCTTTCGATTCGAGGAATCGTGACCGCCTGTTTGGCCGAATTAACTGGCAGCCACTCAGTCATCCATCCTCATACAATGAGAGCATCACTTTAAATTATCCAACGAACGACTTTATCTTTAAAATTTCTTTTAAATTTGATATGATACAATTCTATGTACTTGAAAAATTTATTGTATAATAAACATACAAATATATATATTTTATGGAAGAATGTCTTACGAAACTTGAATTGTTTTTCTAAATTGCCCAAAAATGAGTCACGTACAGAAGTCAATAAAAAGAGCTGTGGATAATTGTTCAGTTCTTAGGTTGAGCCAATTTCCTTCAACCCTCTGTTCTTAAGAGGAACCCCTTACATTAACGACGTTTGCCAAAAATACTGAAATAGAGAGGAAAAGCAACGTTGATCATCGGGAGTTCCATCTGAAATCTATGAGAAAGCTTTTCGTTCATTTCGACAACGCGACCTCGCACAATTTCATTAAACGCGGGAAAGGGATGAAAGAAAAGGGTGGAACACGTGGGAGCTGATCAACAGCTAGGGTCGGCGAGCAGCGGCTTAAAATTTCATTAGCGTATCGTCGATGGATTCGCACACGTTAATCTCATTTCCGGTCGCGGAGTGTATCACAGGGGAACGACTTCCTGCCACGAGTACGCCTTGAAACGTTTCCCTTGATCACCAGCTAATCGCCACTCTTCGCTTCGATGATATGATTCCTGGAGAAAATCCGGATTTTATACTTATACTGTATTCGAGTAGCACGCTATGGATAATCTGGGAGAGGTGATCTAACTTTTATTGCCCTGTCGGAGGATGAGGTTTCCATAAGAAGTATGGGCGACAGGATTTGAATATATTGAGAGGCGTTTGGTGATTTTCACCTCAGGTTGCAACCATCTTTACTTAATAAGAAAAACAGTCTGAAAATGTCTAAAGGCAATTGTTCATGTCATGACAATTGAATTCATGATTAAGTTGTACGCTGGGGATATTCAAAAGTAGAAAGGAAAACCCGTATTCTGTATAAATTGCAATAAATAATGCCTTATCGTTATCAGCAGACAGCGGATTTTATGAATTTATAAGAATATTGAATATGCCAAAAATATATGACAAAACTTGCATCTGAATTTATTTTTTTTTATTTTTTTGGGTAATAATACAATAAGTTCTGATTGCATGTATACATGAAATTCAATTTTCTGGCGCGATAATATGAAACTTAATAGTTTAGAATTGATTCCGAAGTGAAATATCCGGTGACTGACGTCCTGAAATTTTTCCAACTGATATAGTAGTATAGTTGAATTAACCTCGTCACCGCGACTCAGTGCATACGCGTGTCTCGTATAATTCTTTCGCTATCGATCCGCGTACATTTGCTTGCATACGCCTGCACACCATTATACATCAATCCACATCCGATTACCGGTGAAAATTAACAGAGCGTCCATTCCATTTGGCACACGAAAATTAAGATAGAAAAGCAATTGCGGCTTCCAAATTTCTAATTCAAATCGAAACGTACCACTGAGTTAATAAAGAATTTAGTAGAAATTAGGTAAATACATATAAAAGTAGTTTTTGATGCGATTTTAAGATCACTGCCAAAGTATATAAGCAAAATATACAAATCTAGGAAGACGGATGCGAAATTACGTTTGCACCGTCTGGAAGATTTTCATTTAACGCACGGTCGCTCCATTTTAGCTCTAGCTCATAATCTTAAGACTCGAGGGGTAAGCAAGACTTTCGAAAGTCGTTTAAGTATTTTTCAAGGATTAAAGAATTCCGGGCTTGGAAGGGAAGACTAAATCTTCCAACTTGTTTTCAGAAAAACTGCCGGCTCCTTGTAGTGCAGCACCCTTAACCGCGACACGATATTAATTATATGTCCCATAATTAAACTGGGGTATAAAATATGTTTCCCTCTCTCATATATGGATAGATTACAAATTATATAAATAATTTGTAAATGAAATATAAATGTATGATTAATATGGTTGTAATGAATACACATAAGATAATAATTATTATGATTATAATAAATAAATGAAATTGTAAAACATTGATACGTAGCGGACACGTGGAGTTGGCCGATTCAAAGCAGGCAAATGCGAAATAATCGATACCGACCACGATACGTGACACGTGATTGATGGTCCCAAAACGTGCCAGATAACGCACGATCTTTCCACTAGTTTTTCCGCGCTCCCTTTTCAGTCATCTTACCAGTTCGGCAACCCCGAATTCGTCGCATTCTTATCGAGAATGTATACAGCGAATTTTGATAAACCGAGGGGTTCGAGATCTGCAATTTTATAGAAAGTTTTTGCTCGCTCCTCGCTACCGTCTCTCCTTCTCACGATGTATCTTCATCAAGGCGGACTGGTATTGGCTGAGAAATAAAAATACTAGTTAGTATAATTATTTTCTTTTTACTGTTATATAAAGAGAATTAAATTTAGAATCTTCTTTATTACAATTATGTTCCTCATTTCCTATTATCGTGCAAGTTTTCGAAATCCCGTTATCAGACTGTGGCCTTTTATTCAAAATAAATATTCATTTATGTGTTTAATATTCAGAAGAATTTTATATATTTACAATTTCTGCCAATTAAATTTTCTTATATATTCGCAGCCGTTTTTATTTAATATATGTTGCTATTAAATTCTCCAGGCGAAGATGGTTACTGTAATTTTCACGGAATTCAATAGAATGTCGTATTGAAACCTGAGATGTACACGTCGAGGGCCATCGAACCTGAGCACGGTTAATCCGATAGGCATTAGGAATCTGCGGTCGCTCTCGAAAGCTGCGATTAAGCTTCGCGTGGAAAACTGAAACTGGGAATGCACGGCTGCTTGTTCAATAATCGACGTGAACATTCCACGATTGCGGTCAATCTTGCGACTCATTAATTTGTTTTCCGTATTTTCATCGTTTAAAAAAGTGTAGGCGACGCATTTATGATCGATCAGAGATGAGCTTTATCTTTTTTATATTTCATCGATTCGGTTTTTGGGAATATTTTCGCGAGAATAGTTTCCGGGACGTTTCGTTCCCGCGATGCCGGAAGAAATTAAATCGGTCTCGGTTTAAAGTGGCAATTTCGAGTCAAGCGGAAGGCCGAGATACGCGTTCCCAGGAGCTCATCTCGTTTAATTTGCTGGATTTACAATCGTTCGCAACTCTCGAGAGTAACGTTTCCTCGGATCCTTTGAATAAATCACGATCGTTTAACGCACGTGTTCATCGTACAAAAAAAAAACACGGAAAACCGAGCTAATAGTCTCGGGATATAGCAGAATTAATTGGTCTTCATTTATGTTATGGTCTTTTATGGAATTTAGTAAAAAAGCAGGAATATAATGAACATATATATAAAGGTGTATAATGTAATGATATAATTAATTCATTTGAATTCGGTATTATTGTATAAGAGTGTTCACTTAACTACTAACACGTGTGTCTCTATCAAGGTATCGCACAAAAGTAAGAACCAGGCGGTCCTCGCGGTATACATAACTGCTATTATCAGTGCTCTATCGCTGAACTGCTAATAGCGGCTAATACAAACAGATCCGTGCGAAGAGTTTTCTAATCTATAGCTTTACTTCAACCATTTACAATGAAACAGGTACAGACCAGTATGTATCTGTTGCAAGATTATTCGTAATTTTAAAAATTAGGCTCTTTATTTCAATTATAAATATAACTTTTAATGTACGTGTTTACTTTACAAAAGAAGACAAGAAACTTATCTAACAGTACATGCATGTAGCAGAATTAATTAGCACCCATTTACAATGAAACAGATGCAGACCATTGTGTATTTGTTTTGCAAGATTATTCTCTAAATTAAACTGTTAATTTTTATAATCCAAAGAGAGTAAAATTATCTTCATATTCTGTGCTCTCAATTTCAGGTTGAGCTTATTTCAGCAATTAGTCAAAGAACTTCATGATGAAGAGCAGAACTGGTCTGCTGACGTCCAGCATGGCACTTCTTTGTGTCGTGAGTATAGTAAAGTCAACGGCTGCTGTGGAAGAAACTCCATCGTCATCAGTCAATCTTCAACACTATAATTCAGTGTTGATGGGACTTGATGATCCTGTACCCGAGAAGAAAGCATACACCTACGTTTCCGAATACAAGAGGCTACCGGTATATAATTTTGGCATTGGCAAGCGTTTCTACGACGGTGGCGATAACAAAGTAAGCGCATCAATTAGTCTGCCGTATCAATATATTTTTAATTTTTTCTTTTTAGAATACTTAGTTTCCTAGATAATATGTAAAAAATAGCTGTTTGTGAGAAGTATTCAAAAAGATAATGAATTTCTGAGTTTTTAATTTTATATGTTGTACAAAGTTTCATCAACATTGGCTAAAGCATTGAAATGTGGGAAAATTTTCAATTTTTTTTTAGTTATTTAATTTCCTCGTCGGCCTTCAATTTCTAATCATTTGTACCTCATATGAACGTTAACCGATATCGATGAAAGTTTGCACAAGCATAGAACCTACCTAGATCTATAATAAGCATGTTTTTGACATTATGACAATAAAAGTCGTGAAGACTGTCGTACTATCACGATAATGGACTCGCACGATAGACATGGCTGGGAGAATCAGTGCAGTTACCGTTGCGTGAAAACGTACTATACTTAAACTAAAAATTGAATGCTAATTCCAGAGAGGACGTGAGTACTCCTTCGGCTTGGGGAAACGGACCAGACAGTACAACTTCGGTCTGGGCAAACGTAGCGACAACGCCGACTACCCAGTCTTGCTGAACTTTGATTATCCAGCCGACGTCCCGCTGCAGGAGAATGATTTCTTCGAGGAGAAACGCGACAGACAGCCGTACAGCTTCGGCCTGGGTAAAAGAGCGGTGCATTACAGCTCCGGACAGTCGGGGAAGAGAGTGAGCGACCTCAGCCAGAGATACCACTTCGGCCTCGGAAAGAGGATGCTGGACGAAGAAGAGGACTCGCTGCAATAGGGTCCCTCACGGATGAGGGAACCATTATCAACTAAAAACCGTTCCCACGTCGTCGACGTAAACCATTAAAGTAGCTCCACTTCGATGTCGCTCAGTTTTATTGTCAGGCGAGAAGTATATCGATTACACAACAATCAGGACACGTTTCTCGAGTTTCGACGCCTCTCCAACGAGTTCCTCGTCTTTCTTCTGCTTCCCGCGCGTCGGACCTCGATCGTTTTCTTGTTTCCCTTCTGGGATTCGAAGGGATGCTGGTATTTAGTTGATATCGTTGGTGATGGTCCTCCTTGATTCGTAGTGTAAACAAGTAGTATCGAGCTGGGTAAATTAATTTACGGACGTTTCCGCGTCCTCTTTTAATTTGTAACGATCGAATAAAACGATTAAATGTACGATTGATGGGTATTATCATTTTTATCTTTTTGTAATAAAAATAACATAGACTATTGCCTCGTGAACTTCAATAAAGTATTTGTAGACCTTGTCAAGTGTTCCTTCATTCAATAAACGATTGTTTCCAATGTTTGAGCAAAAGGAAAGACTGACGTTCACGTTTCACTTTGCAATTGAATTTGCCCAGCTCTGCGCCCTCCCCTCAATTTGCAGCCGTGTATAAAAGAAAAAAGTGCACCGAAACAACGTCTTTGATCTGACAATTATTCGAAAAGCAAATAAGATCGTATCACTGTAACATTTTTCTAGAATTAATTTTAAGCGAACCTTGTTTCGATTTCTGTTCAAGTATTTATCAAATAAATGTTCTTCAAAAAGTAGTGGATGATAAATTACGTGAGAACCTCATTCACATGTACCCTCCAATTTTCGTAAAAATTTGACAGTAGGAACTATGAGAACGTTTTTATAAATCAATTTATACGTTCGTGTTGGCCACGTATTATATCGATAAATAAATCATATGTGGAGCAGCATGATTCTGACACGCCCCCATACAAGTTCGATTAGCCCGTCGCAGTTACCAACAGTTTGGCCGAACGATCGTTCGTTCCTAATCCGAACAATCAAATGCAATATTTTAATTGCAAATTTTATGGTGACTCTCGGTTAATTAACAAAATCGTACAATTTTGAAATATTGAAGTGACCATGGGAAGTGAACACAACGTTTGGATCCTTTGGCTTTTTTTATTAATGGTGAAACTGTCGTTCGGTTTGGAGAAACATTGGCTACCAAATTTGGAATGGGAAACCGCGGAAAATTGGGTAGAAAAACGGATACCAGAACTGGACAGTTACGTCAGATTTCCTTTAGATATGAGACACGCTGTGGGAATTGGCAGCTCTCAGGGTCTACGATTGTCCGGGATAGATTTACCTAGGTCTGGATATCTGGTTTTGTCGAAAAATGGAAGAATAGAGGTAAGCAATACACGTGATTAATTAATAAAAATTCTATATTTAAGTCTAATTGAATCATTCAAATAGATTTACCTAGGTCTGGATATCTGGTTTTGTCGAAAAATGGAAGAATAGAGGTAAGCAATACACGTGATTAATTAATAAAAATTCTATGTTTAAATCTAATTGAATCATTCAGCTCTGTACATAGGATTCATTTAAGCATATAAATTTATTCTATCATCAATTTAATTTTATGATAAATATTTTTATAACATAATTTGAAAAATATTTTGGAAAAAGAGTAACGAATGCATGTGTCTTGTTTATATTTACAGCGAAAAATATTCTGTTATGGAAAAAGTAGGATATGAAATGTAATGTCGTTTAGCTCGTTTGCTTGAAGGAAATCGATTTTTAATTCCCTAGCATAGGAAATATTAACGCGTCACTGGGATTTGCAACAGGAGACAGATTAGTTCAGAGATTGTATCGAGCCTTCCTCGTTCGACGTCTAATAGCCCGCGATATCAGAAACTGGACATAAATCTAGTTCTCCTGTTCTTGAAAGCAAGTTTAATAAGGAATAGCGCAAGCTCGGCAGAAATGAAAGTGCCATACTTTATCAATCGCGTCGATAAATTTAATACCATGCATCGGGCGCGGATTCTTCCAACAATTTCGAATTAATTATTTTCCTAAATAAAATTATCAACAAATATTCAAGACAATTTTATTATCACAGTTGAACAAACCAGGCAATCGGTGAAAAAGCTTATGAATGATTAAGACAATAAATTCATCTGGCGTAGACTCTTGCAATTAATTATTCAACTAAATGAAATTACCAAGAAGTGTACAAGGCGATTTTGTCATCACAGTTTAGCGAACCAGGCAGTTCGAGGAAAACTAGTGAATGGTTAAGATCAGGCCACTTGTTTTGGGCCGACCCTCAAAATTGGGGTGGAAGCTCGGAAGCAGCACCTCACTTCGAGCAAGTTCCTTGTAGGGAGGACGATATCGTCCTACCAGAGACATCGCGAACATTTAACGTTCTAATGCCGATGAAGAATACCGAGGTCAGATCGGTGAGAACGTCTGACGAGAAGCGTCCTTTCAGCCAGTGGCAATGGTCTGATATGGCAGCCAGAAGAGAGTTCGAAGGACGATTCTTTAGCGTACAGTATGTTTAAAAATTAAAAATCTATCGATAGACTTATTTTTATGCAAAGTAAAATGTTTATAGTTTACTTCATAAATAGTTTACTTCATAATTTTAATATTTTTATTCAAGACAATCATTTTTTGTACCTAGTGCGACTTTGCAAATGCAATTCGGAGGTCAAATACTATTCATAGTTGATATTTTAATTTTTATTCATAGTAAATGAGTCAATTTCTCCACGAAACAATTCTTCTTCATTGGCTTTTTTTTCTATCATTATAAATGGGCATTGTAATATGTGATCATAAGCCAGTGAGTAAAAATTGACCTGAACAGAAATTAGGACATTTACTACATTATTCCATGGTTTTCGTCAAATCTGCAGCTACACCGACTACAGTTGCACCTCCTGTCCTTGCCAGGACGACCCGGACGGATATTATCTAGAGGAAATTTGCGCCATCGAAAGGCCAAAGTGTGGATTCACACCATGCGAGTTCCCTCTAAAGGTTGGTAGAGAAGATGAGCTTGTCAAAATTTTATTTTTAAAAAGAAACATAATCGGAGAAATCTCTGTTTAGGTAGAAGGTCATTGCTGTCGATATTGCGGAGGTCGCGTGTCGTTAACGTCCGAAGCGCTCGTGCCGGTGGTACGCGCTGCAGTTGATGAAGCTTTAGAAAGACACGCGGAAAAGCTCGCTTGGCACGTTAGATACACCTGGAAAGTGGGGGTGGAGATTCTGATAAAGGAAAAGGGCGATTATTCAGAGGTCGATATCATCAAAGCGACAGAGGACGTCAAAGAAACCTTGCTAAGTAAAATCCGTATATCATCCCTTATTCTGCTTTTCCAATCTTCTTTAAAAATTGTCATTCTTATCCCATTATCTTCTACTTTTACATATTATCATCGTTGATACGTTTCTCATCAAAATTTTATTAGTAAGACAGTATTTGTATTTATTATTTTAAGAATTTCTCATATTGAGAATGTTCATTGCACTATTTCACTCGCTCGAATAGAACAAAGAGAGAACGTGAACAATATGCGAGCGTGCAATATTGAAAGGAAACATTTTCCTTTTCAATAAACTGTGGAAAAGCATTGATCAATTGCCATTGAAAGTATTTCATTTCATCTCAGCTTCTTTCTTCTCGTTTATTCGGAGACGTTTCGTTGGGACGAAAGTATTATTACAGCAATTTTTATGTTTTAATTAGGTATGAAAATCGACGTTGTGGCTACGGAAACTGCAGGGGCAGCTATGCGAGATCATCGTTTAGCTGTGGCACTTATCCCGCTCATCGGAACGCCGTTCGTCGTCCTCTTCCTTTTCTTCCTCGGTTTCCTCTACTTCAGCTACTCTTACAGGCAGTAAGTGTATCAAATATGAAAATTTTTTTATGTTTTATACTTTGATTTATAATAGAGTAAGAACGGTCTAAACAGAGACGGAAGATAATGATTCTCTGTGTTTTTAATCTCACAGTGAAAACGCACATCAGGCTTATCCCGTTTTTGTCTCATTGTCAGAAATCCGATATTAATTTTTTTTCGAATTCATGATTGCTTTCATTTATAAGGCTTTGTACGAAATCCTGGAATTACCATTTGAGAAGAAAAGAGTAGCGGAATTAATAATTCGCCAAGAATAGCTGAAACCTGAAACGGAAACGAGTTGCAGCTGCTCGATCGAAAGAAACGACAGCCAAGCTTTTTCCGTAAACCCCTTTGACCTTTGTATGAAACATACAGAAGTGGCTACTACGCCTTCTACCAAACTGGAATTCTGCAAAATTTACTTTCCATTTCAGAATGTTTTTGACCTACGAGAGACACCCGCTGTTACACAATTTAATGTTCTTTCAATTTCATTAATTGTGTTAATTCTTATATTTTTATTATCATTTTTCAATTAAAGAACAGTAGAATTAAAATATCGAATGACAGTAGTCATATCATAATAAAAATGGTTAGATTATAAATCGTAAAGAAAAGGCAGAAAACTTTCGTTCTTTTTTCAATTTAATTAAATGCACGATTATGGAAGGTTTATTATAATTTTTAATCGAGGAACAGGAAGATTAAAATATCCAACAATATTAATCATATCACAAGTTGATGAAAGTCTGAAATTATATAGAAAGGGCTTAAGGGAGAAGGGAAATAAAGTAGGGAATGTTTCAATTTGCGAAATAATGACGGCAATAGCCTAGTAACCGAGAAACTCGGCCCCGTTCACCATTTACGGCTCTACACTTAGCAATATCTTGCCACCGTTTCCCAACGAGCCTCGTACCGTTTAATTAGACCGGTTCGAACGGGTTGCTATTCTCACTTGAGAAACTGACGTCATAGTTTCAAATTTACCAAAGGGGAATTATAAATAGGCAGCGGATTTTATGCATTTGTAAGAAAATATACCAAAAATATAAACGCTACGTGCGAAATTATATATGAAACTGTTAAACGTAGCAAAAGTTGCACTTGTATTACAATACTTAAATGATAAAATGAAGGTTTACCTACAATACATTTTTTAAACTGATATCATAAATGTTTTATTTTGCATAAAAGTCGGCAGTCTAATTATAAACCTACAGAAAGGAAATGATATCTTATCGAAGTTTTTATTCATTTTAATTGCACATTAAGACAGGCTAATGCTTCACTAAACGGTTTTGAATAACAAATGGAACTTATTTTTTAGCATTGCGTCAGGTTGCGCGGAAGTCTTTTCATCGATCAGGGACGGGGTTCGTGTGGAGAAAATGCAAAGTGGAAAGCCGTTTGGCTTCGCTCTCTTTGAGAACATCTCGGAAGGCAATGTTCAAATTGCGAATGTCGCTGGTGCCAGTGAACCCAAAGAGAACGAGGAAAAGGCGGATGAGGAGGATTCGTCTTCCGGTGGGAGATTCGAAAACCCTTTGTACAGGTCGAAGAGAAAGCTTAGAGAAGAGGGAGAGATTCTGACATTGGAAGCTCCACTAAGGCTGGCAACCCTGCGCGATAAGGTTGAAGCTCAAGTTGAAGAAATAGACATTGATATCGACCAGTGAAATATATTTTCTCTTAAAAATACGATGTAATCAGAAAATATATCGAACCCACAGCCGATTGATTTTTAATTAAAAAAATTCTGGCCTTCACTCAATTCCTAATGAAAATTTACAATTAAGATTTGCTTTTTATATTACACTCTTAACTACAAAATTATTATTTTATGCCATGAACTTGGATTTCAACTGTCAAGGTTCGTCTTACGGTGGGAGATTTGAAAACCTTTGTACAAATCGAAAAGAAAATATAGAGAGGAGGGAGAGATTCTGACATTGGAAGCTCCACTGAGCTTGGCAATTTTGCATGATAAAATTGAATAAATGAATATCAATCAGTAGACTGCAAAATTTTCTGTTAAATGATTCAAGTCATAAGATATAGTCCACAGTCGATTGATTTATAATTTGAAAAATTCTCGATTGCATTCGGCTCTTAAATTATGCAACTCAAATCTTATTCTTTGACATTGCGATACTACAAAAATAATTTAATGCCACGATCATAAATTCCAAAACATTAATTAGAGGGGAACACTGTCAACAGATAACGGAACATGAAGAAAGCATAACTCACGTAACGGAACGTTAAGTCACATGTGTTTATTCCTTGTCATACAACGTTCGATCACGTGGCAAATTCACGTGTCATCGCGTAGTAAAGTCACTTGCTCGCCGGTATCATCCCGATAGGATAATTCGTCGCACAGTTAAACACAAAAACACGTAACGTATGTAATATTCGACACACACACACACATCTACACTCTGCGGATAAATATGTATATGCATGCGCGGTACCGTTTAATGCAGAGCACAGGAACGCAGAGAATGATTTTTATGAACGATGATCCAGTTTTGTGAAAAAAAAAATATAGTTCACCTGAATATATGATGATAGTGAATATTTTCTCTCATTGGTGTATAATGCGTTTGGAGCGTGTACATTTCTTTTAATGTATACATATATTATCTGTTTATATAGAAATATCTTATATGTATATATATATATATTTATATTTATGTGTATATATAACCATTTATATAAAGCTTCGTTTATAGAATATATTAAATTATCTTTCTTTATATATTTTTTTATTCTCGGTAAAACTGCGTTTAATTGGCATTTTGTACACGACATTAATCATTTTCTACATAACAGGATTGTTGTTTAAAAATCGAAGAGCTCTTCGCGCGAATTTCTGGATGGACTTCAAACTCCGTAAACATTTGTCATTCTCAAAATTCTGACTTTACGTACTGGAAATTCGCAAGAAGATCCGCGATCGTGAAGGAATGGGAGCCACGCCGTTAAATTCGTACTGGTCCCTGTGATTAATCTATCTAAAACTATCTCCGTTTTTTTAACATTTATTAACTTAGCACGTTTAATTCCACGTCCGATGCCTGTTTCAAAGAAAGATATAAATTTTGCCTTACAGGATGTTCCATTTCTATTATAGAAACTCGAACGAAAGTATAATTGTAAAAGTTTCCATGGTACAAACACAGCTTTTACCCTATAGCCTGTTTGTTGTTGTTTCAACCTGTTCACAGAAGACGAGATGCCTCATCGCAAACTTTCTATTATAAAAACTTGAACGAAAGTATAATTATAATTAAATTTAATCCGTGAAAGTTTTCCATATTTTAAACACAACTTTTACTGTTTGTTATTGTTCAAAGCGATTCAGTGAAGTCCGTATAAAAATAGAAACTCCCAGACGGCGAAGTTTCGTCTTCTGATCTTTGAGCTTTAAATAGCCAAGTAAAACATACAGAAACCACTACATCATTTCCCAAAATTTTTCAACCGATCCTCCTATCGTTTCTTTTGGAAACGAAACGCTTTCACTCGTATCTTCGATCACTAAGACTGTATTCGACGTGTTACATGATTATAAAATTTCATTAAAAAGTAGCATGAATTGTTTCATTAAGGCGAATGATTTTGTTTAAAGAGAATTAACGTGGTGAATATAATTCCGTTAATGCAGTGAATGGTTCGAGATGAATATTTCTTGAATCACATCCGTCGATTCTTTTAACTTCAACTTGCAGAATTATTAGACTGCGGATTTTTGTGCAAAACAAATACAACAGATTACGGATTTCTTTTGCAAAAACACTAATAAACATATTGTATGTTTTTGTATATTCAATGCATTTGGTATATTTCTTGATAAAATAAAATTCTTCTATAAATTGCATACAATTCGCAGTCTAACGATCCTAATTATCACCGATGTTATTTGTACCTATCAAAGTCGTCGACATTGCACACGTTCTTCCCTCAAGCTACGAGCGAACCCGAAAACGTGTGGGTGCTCGTGAAACGAATCTATAATTTCGCTTAAACTAAGAATTAAAATTTCTAAACACGTGTATATAATATATATATATATAGAATATTTTTCGCACACGATTATCGGATTCTGAATAAAACATCTCCACTTAATTAACTATGGATCTCTACTCGCTATCCGTTGCTAATCATTCGTTTGTATAATTAACGCGATAGACAATCGTCGAATTGTACGTCGTTTTACTAATTTAAGCTATCATTCGTTTTTCTTACTCTCTTGGACGAAAATCGAAGTATGACCTTCGGACATAGATAAATAAGACTGTACTCTTAAATACATTCTCTCTATTTCTATTCTTGAACACCATGATTGACACTTTCCATACTTGGTAAAATATTTCAATTGAAACAGCTATTCTGATCCTATCAAAACTCACGTTAATCTATCTTTGAAAAATGAAAGATAAAATTCGATGTTGCTTCATCTTTGTTCCGTTTATAATACATATATTGTATAATAATATCAAACAACGTTACGAATCAGGGCTTTGCGATTAATATGTCTTCGATGTTCAACCGAGAATCGATCATTCTCGTTTCAATTTTATCACCTACGTAAATTAGGCACTATTATTCATAATAGCCGTCTATCGTTTTCGATTATATTAAAGAAACACGTTGAGTGGAAAAGGAAAGGTCGAGGAAGCATCGAAATTAACGAATCAAGGCACTCCCGGCTGGATTAACCCCTCTCTCTCCGATTTTCGTCGAACGGAAATTAGGAAGACGCGATCAAGAAGGAATATTCTTTTAAATTACGTTCGCACGATACTTACTCGATCCGCTTGCACGAGGAAGACTTTACGGGAATGTAAAGGAATTGCACTGTTCCCTGGAAAATAGCCGGCAGGCTACATCGATCCTTCGTCTCGTTTGATAATTCAATCCCCATCGGATTACCCTTTCACATGGTAAGGAATAAAATGAATTTTAAATTGCACTATTCTAAAATGTCTGTTAATCCTCCTACGCTGTGAAAGAGTCAATGACGCGAAGAAATATCGCCGTTTCTTTCGAGTGGCTATAAATTATTATCAGAGTCAAGAAAAACTGCAAGACAAAAAGCACTCGTAATTCGACGATCAGGAACACGTCTGGCCTCGAATCGAGAGACCCAATCGACCACCTGTCTTCAGGGTGAAAAGTCTTCAAGGTATCACCCTTTGGATGACGGCAGCTGCGTGTTTCGCTTTGCACACGGCTTTGGAAATTCACTCTACGAGCCTTGAAGCTGGAGAAGCGCCTGGAGACGTTGGAGTTCTTTCAACAGCTCGCGATTCGTGTCCTCGAGGGCTGTTAGCCTGTCCCTGTAGGAAGAATTCTCGTTGGTGAGCATAGTGACGCGTCGCTCTAACCCGTCCATGTACTCTTTCTTCTTCCGCCGAGACTCCTGGGCCGATATCTGAAACACGAAGCAGGCGGTTGCGTTGTATGTGTCGTGTTTCGATACTTTCGATCACTCCGAGCGTTGATTGTGTTATCGATTTAGTATTGCGTGCAGGCAGAGTCGCTCGGCGAAAAAGAGGGACTAAAAATATTGCAGTGGAAAAAGTTTGAGAACCTAAGCTATTTCAAGCTTATAACTCTTTTATTCAAACGTTTATATAACAAAAAGAACTGATGAATATTTTAAGTCGGAATGTTCATTATCGCGCCTTATACGTACGGCGTAATGTGTTTTGATACTTCCGTGTACATACATACGTATTATCTGTGTGTTTTCTTTCGAACGATGATTCATATATGGGGCGAACATAAATGGCAAAGAAAAGAGCAAAGAGCGTTTGCTTTTGTATTATTGTAGTCACACTCGAGGTGAAAGAGCATCGTGACATAATATACTATTAAAGTATTTGGATATATTGGTATATGGATGAATAATACTATTAAAGTAAAAGGAATTTTACACTTGCCTTATTTTTTATTTTCCTGCGGACTTTCTTCAAGGATTTTTCCTCCTGCTTCGTCAATGGAAGTTTCGTGGGCACGGGGTATCCCTCCGCAATCAGTGTCCTCTTTTCTTCCTCCGTCAACGTCAACACTCCCGTCGAGCCTTTCTACAAAATGAATTTTACTCGCGGTCAATAATCCTTTTCCTTCGAGGCACGCCCCGGCGGAAAGTGTATTATCATAATTGATAAGACTTTCCTTTCTACTCACCGGTTGACAGGAGATCAAGGGCGTGTGTATCGGCTGTCTGGTGGTGTGGGTGTTGTTCGTGACGTAAAGCCTGGGCGTAAGCAAACCCCTGAGATTCTGTACGTGCGCGGAGCTCTGGGAATCTCGGCGTTCCGGCGAGCAGGAAGCGGAAGCGGTGCCCTCGCTGTCAGAACTCGCGCTACTCGGCGGCGTCGGCGGAAGACCCTGTCTGGACGCGCGTAGATCCGTCTGTTTCTCGTCCACCGCCTCCCCGTTGTACTCTTCCACCTCCATATTCTGTCACAAGCAAATCACAACATCATTTTCAATTTCGTCCCATAAAAAGTAAATTTGCATGTACTCTTATGGTAATCAGCAGTAACCCAAACTTTCTGGTATTTGGCGTGCATGCGCGAAATTGGAAGAAACAACTGACTTGAGGAAATATAAGCCTAAAAAGTCTGGAATTTTTGACGTTTTTTAGAAT